CTTGGCCCTTTAAGAAGCTAATTAATCACTAAATATAGATCACAACTTGTTCTTTTCAACCCTCTGCATGTTTCTTCCCCCCATTGTGTGATGCCATCTGGTACTATGAGCTCATGCTTTTTGTGTTCCTTTTCAGAGAGCCAGATTCATTGCTGTCTATACCCAGAAAGCCAGTTAATTTCAAAGTTTGCATGCATGGCTTTGAAAAAATTGGAAGCTAATGCCTCCTTGTGGATTTCCACAGTATCACTTTTTAACATAACATCGCACGGAACTTCAGTCTTTACCACCATCCACACATACACACACACATGTCTTTTCATCAAAAGGACCTAATTTGTCTTTGGCAAGCTGTCAAGCAGCTACAGGTCTTTTCCTGTGTGATTTTTGTCAAGTTTCATTTTGTCAGTTTAAAGCGTATGCTGTAAGGAGCCAGACCTTAATAATATACTCCCCCCTTCGAATCTATTTGACTTTCTGAGACAGCAGCGGAGTTTAAGAACAAGAAATACAACAGCTAATGTGGGCCCCTGACACTGCTGCTGATCTGTCCTTCACTCCCACTTTCTCTCCTAATTCTGCCTGGAGTCTTGATCATCTTCCAAGGGAGTGGAGCACAGGAGCCGTAGACTGTTTTCTTGCAAGCTCAGCTGTGGGGCTCTGGGCTTGCCAGCAGGCTCCCAATCAGTGGGATTGTTGAGTACTGCTTGTTACCGTCCGGTCCAGACCTTGTCACTCTCCACACCTCCTTTCTCTTCTCGTTTCAGAGCGCTTGGCAGTTTAAATTTAGCCTGGGAGCCTAGCGGGGAAGGAAAGGTAATTTGGCTACGTGAGCACTGCTTACCTCACTCCTGGCACATGCTGGATGCCCCTGGGGAAGCAGGAGAGCATTGGCCAGCTGCCTTCCTCCTTTCTGTAGCTCTTCCTCCTGGGATCGTGCCTGTTCCTAGCAAGGGGCTGAGATGAGCCCTGAGAATGTCCCCTGTGATGTAAAAGGAACCGTGTATTTCCCTAGCATAGAAGCTGTCCTAGGGCCAACCCCTCGCGCTCTCAGAGAACGGTTTCTACTCAGTCCACACTCCATTTGAGCATGAAGCAGCTTCTGTGAGATGCAGGTAGAATGAAGTCACTGAGTCAGCCGTAGAGCCAATCCAGTCTCCAAATAACATTGTCAAAAGGTATGGGTAATATACAGACAGAAGCCTCAATTAAGTTTTGTTTCCAAAAGAGCACATGTTGTTACTAAACCAAAAAAAATGGGGGCGCCTGGATGGCTCAGTCAGTTAAGCCATTGACTTTTGATCGGTTGCACGTTGAAGCTCTGCATTGGGCTCCATTTTGGGCGTGGAGCCAACTTAAAAAAAAAAAAAACGAAAAAAATGTGCTTTTCCCTGTAAATTGACAATTTGCTTAATAACTCGTTGTAGCCACCCACAGAATTAAGATGCACTTCTAAAAGATTAAGGATTTCTAACTTTCCTGAGTGACTAGTATACAAAATTTGGATAACAGCATATATGTTAAAGCTTGGTTACTACTTTGCACTGTGGCCTTAGGCTAGTTGCTTAATGTTTCTGAACTTCAAATTTTTCTACCTACTTAATGGAGCAAATCATACTGATTATTTTTTAATCTGGTTCATAGGGTTGTGGGTGAGCATCAAATAGATTTTGTCAAATGCTTTTTCTGCATTTAGGAGATGATCTTGTGGTTTCTGTGCTTTATTCTTTTCATAAGGCCTATTATATTAATTGATTTTCACATGTTGGAACAATCTTGCATTCATGATATCAATCCCACTTGGTCATGATGCATAGTCTTTGTTATATGTTGCTGAATTCAGTTTGCTAGTGTTTGTGGAGGATTTTTGTATATAATAGTCACAAGAATATTTTGAAATATTCTTTACTTGTTATGTTTTTGGTTTTTGTATCAGGTGTAATATTGACCTCCTAGAAAGATTTGGGAATTCTATTATTTTTTTTTTTTTGAAGAGTTTATGAATGATCGTTATTCTTTTTCAGATATTTGGTAAAATTTACCAGTAAGGATGTATGGTCCTGGGCTTTTCTTCACTGGAAGATTTTAATTGTAGAGATTTTATTTTTAAGTAATTTCTACACCTGACACGGGGCATGAACTCACAACCCCAAGAACAAGAGTCTCATGCTCTACTGACTGAGCCAGCCAGGCACTCCATCATTGGAAGATTTTTAATAAGTTATTTACTACCTTAATCTCTACCTATTATAGATCTTTTCAGATTTTCTATTTCTACTTGAGTCAGTTGTGGTAGTTTATGTCATTCTACAGATTTCATCTGTATAATCTAATTTGTTGGCATATAATTTTTTCACAATATTCTCTTACAATCCTTTTTATTTCCATATTGGTAATGCCCTCTGTTTTATTCTTGATTTTAGTAACTTGAGTCTTCTTTTTTTTTTTTATTTTGGTTAGATTAACTAAATTTTATTAATCTTAATTTTGTCAATTTTATTAATCTTAGTGCCAATTTTTGGTCTTGCTTATTTTCTGGGTTCTTCTATTCTCTACTTCATTTGTTTCTACTGTAATTATGTAATCTCTTTTCTTCTGCTTAAGGTTTAGTTTGCTTTTCTTTTTCTGGTTTTTTAATGTAGACAGGTTATTGATTTGACATCTTGTTTTTTAATGTAGGCATTTGCAGCTATAAATTTTCCTCTAAGCACCACTTTAGCTGCATCCCATAAATTTTGGTATGCTGTGATTTAGTTTTCATTCATCTCAGAGTGCTTTTAAATTTCTCTTGTGATTTATTTTTTAAACACTTGGCTGTTTAGGAGTGTGTTACTACATTTCCACAAATTTGTGAATGTCTCAAGTTCTCTTACTGATTCTAACTTCATTGTAGTATGGTCAGAGAACATACTCCATATGGTTTTAATAATTTTAAATATATTGAGATTTGTTTTATTGCCTAACATGTGGTCTATCGTAGAGAACATTCTATGTGCACTCAAAAAGAATGTGTATTCTGCTGTGGTTGGGTAGAGTGTTCTATAGATGTGTTTTGTCTAGTTGTTTTAGAGTGTTGTTCAAATCTTCCATTTCTGTGTTGATCTTCTAAATGTCGTACCATGTTTGAAAGTGGGATGTTGAAGCCTTCAACTATTCTTGTTGAATTGTCTATTTCTCCCTTCAGTTTTTGCTTCCTGTATTTTGGGGGCTCTGTTGGTAAGTAGGTGCATATGTGTTTATAATTTTATAAATTCCCAGGGGATTGACCCTTTTACCATTCTAAAATGTCTTTGCCTATAGTAAAAATTTTTGTCTTTAAGTTTATTTTATCTGATGTTAGTATACCATTCCCATCTCTCTTTTGGTGATTGCATGGTATATCTTTTTCTGTACTTTACCTTTAAACCTATTTGCATCTTTGGATCTAAAGTGTGTCTCTTGTGGACATCATATAGGTGGATCACGTTTTATTTATAATGCCAATCTCTGTCTTTTGATTGGAGTGTTTGATCTGTTTAGATTTAATGTAATTCCTTATAAGGGAGGAGTTATGTCTGCTGTTTTGCTATTTGTTTTCTATACGTTCCTCTTTTCTTCCATTACTGTCTTCTTCTGTGTTAAATGGATGTTTTCTAGTAACCTTTTAAATATGTATTATATATGTATGTATACACACACACACACACACACACACAAGTTGCCTTGTGAATTACAATTAACATTTTAATTTATAGCAATCAAGTTTGGGTTAATACCAACTGAATTTCACTCGTATATAAAAGCTTTGCTGCTTTGTAGCTCCATTCCCTCTCCTCTCCTTTGCATGGTTATTATCATACACATTACATTGTATGATCCTCAACAGAGATTTATAATTATTGGTTAATGTTTTGTGTCTTTTAAATCAGGTAATAGAAAAAAAGTTACAGCACAGATAGTACATTTATATTGTCTTTTATGTTTACCCATGTCATGACCTTGACAAATGTTCTTTATTTTTTTCTAATGTTTATTTATCTTTGAGAGAGAGAGAGAGAGCGGGGAAGGTGCAGAGAGAGGGAGACACAGAATCCAAAGCAGGCTTCAGGCTCTGAGCTGTCACTACAGAGCCTGATGTAGGGCTCAAACCCACGGACCGTGAGATCACGACCTGAGCCAAAGTCGGACACTTAACTGACTGAGCCACCAAGGCACCCTGACAAATGTTCTTTATTTCTTCATGTAGATTCAGTTACTGTACTTTCCTTTCATCCAGAAGGACCCCCGTTAGTATTTCTTGTTGGACAGGTCTGCTAGTGACATACTCTCTCAGTTTTTGTTTTGCTGGAAATGTCTTAATTTTTCCTTCATTTCTGAAAGATGACTTTGTTGCATATAGAATTCTTGATTAATTTTCTTTCTTTCATTGCTTTGAATATGTCATCTCACTCCCTTCTGGCTTCCATAATTTCTGATGAGAAATCATCTTCTACTCTTTTGAGGAACGCTTGTATGTGATAAGTTGCTTTTCTCTTGCTTCTTTCAAAACGTTCTCTTTAGCTTTTGGGAGTTTGATTATGATGTGTCTGGGTGTGGCTCCCTTTGAGTTTATCCTATTTGTGGTTCATCAAACTTAGATGTGAGGATGTATGTTTTTCATCACATTTGGGGAACTTTTGACAATTATTTCATCAAATATTCTTTTTGCCCCTTTTTCTCTTTCCTCCTTCTTGCGACTCCCATTATACTGACATTGATATAATTGATGGTGTCTCACAGATCTCTGAGGCTCTGTTTATTTTCTTCTCTTCTTTCCTCATTTTTTTCAGACTGGATAATCTCAATTGACTTCTCTTCAAGTTTGCTGATTAATTTTTCTGCCCCTCCAGTGGATTTTTCATTTTATTTATTGTGCTTTTCAAGTTCAGGATTTCCACTTGTTTTTTTTTTTTTTTTTTTTTTTTTTTTTTCTTTTTATCCTTCCTGTCACTTTACTGATATTCTCTGTAGGGTGAGACATCATTCTCATACTTGCCTTTAGTTCTTTGAACACGTTTTAAGCAGCTGATTTAACGTCTTTGTCAGGTAAGTCCAACATCTGGGTTTCCTCAGTGATACTTTCTACTGAATGGCTTTTTTCCTCATGCATGGACCATATGTTCTTGTTTCTTTGTATGTTGTATACTTTTTTACTGAAAACTGTGTATTTAAAAAAATATTATGTAGCAACTCTAGAAAATAGATTCTTCTTCTTCCTCCTCAGGGTTTGTTATTATTTGGTGGTGTTGTTGTTGGTTTCTTTAGTGTCTTTCCTTAACTGATTCTATAAAGTCTCTATTCTTTGTCATATGTGGCCCCTGAAGTCTCTGCTTGACCAGCTGTGTGTGAAGCTAATGGACAGAAATGTCCTTAGCTGCCTGGAACTAATAAGTCCCAGTGTTTGCTGATGGGCTCTGTGTGGATGTCGTTCATGTCTTCAGCTCTGCCTTAGCCTTCACTCCCTGCTTTACAGAGCCTCAAGGTCAGCCAGAGGATGACTACTGCTTGGAATGACAGTTTTGAAAAATACAAATGCAAGCTATTAATACATTTGCAGCATGTTATCTGCTACTATTCTCGTCCTAGATTGTTTGTTCTTTTTAAGCACAGGCGTTTTCTGACTTCTATGTAAACATCTAACTTATGTGCCTTAGACCACAGAACCACTGCCACGGGCCCATGTTGAAAAAGCAAGGAGAAAAATAGAGCTTCGAACTTTGAGGAATTGGTGGTTTCATGATGAAAAAAAAAAAAAAAAAAGAAAAATCTTCCCCAAAGCAGAGGTAGTCTTGGGGCAGTGTTTCTCAAAGTGAGATTCAAGGACTGCCTGCCTCAGAATTACTTGGGATGTTTGTTAAAGTTCAGGTTCCTGGCTCCATCCCAAATCCTTTGATTTAGAATATCTTGGGTGGGGTCCATCCAGGAATGTACATTTTTTTTTTTTTTATAACTTGAAAGAAAAAAATTTTTTTAACGCTTATTTATTTTTGAGAGGCAGAGAGAGACAGAGCACGAGCAAGGGAGGGGCAGAGAGAGAGGGAGACAGAATCCGAAGCAGGCTCCGGGCTCTGAGCTGTCAGCACAGAGCTGGATGTGGGGCTCAAACTCACCAAACCATGAGATCATGACCTGATCCGAAACAGAGTCAGACGCTTAACCGACTGAGACACCTATGTGCCCCCCCAAAGTTTTATTTCTATAAGTAATTAAATTCCAGAAATTAGACATTTATTTGCATCTATGAGGATTTTTTTTTTTTTTTTTTAGTAGCTGCAGGGTTATCATAGGATTCAGGCTGAATCATGGGACTCAGAAGATTTTAGGGGAAAAATAAGCCCGTATTTATTTATGCAATAAAAGCATGGGTTGGGAGAGAGGGTAGGAGAAGATACGATAAGTCAATGGGTATACTTGCTCATTTCAAAATATTGTGCCTAGGGCTGGGCATGCAGCCAGAAAAGGTGGGGAAAGTTTTTTCTTTCTCCTCTCTAATTTTCGTTTCCCTCTCTACTTTTACTACTACTCTTTCTCTTGGGACCCAGAATTTAGGTCAGTAAAATTTATATTAAGGAAATGCATCAGCTGCCCTGGGGTTAAATAGGCTCTTGAGGCTTATCTGGTGACTGAATCACCACCTAAGCCACCGCATAGAGGGTTGTCTTCATGGAATAATGTCTTCTGGTTTCCAAATAACACACTTCCTAATGAACTTTTTGATGCAGCCCGTTTGAGAGTTTGAGATTGGATCAAGTTCAGACACATGTAATTTATCTGGGTTAACTTAAAATTTTAAGCTGATTTCCCCCAACCACATGTATACTTTTAGGCCATTTTTCCTTGAGGAGTTTTGCGTTTGGTTAACACAAACTCAGCGTTGAAAAACAATTTGGGGAGTTTAGATCTTTATCAAATTTATGACATTCACAAGTGACACGTGATTTAAAAAATTATTTCACATTTTAGATTTTTACTGCTCTGACTTGCCTGTATCACTGAGAGTCATCAGGTGATTCCTATCCCTCCCCCCATTCAACCCAGTTCAGGACACATTATTGGGCTGTAGATCTCCAGAATTCTATTACAAATACACGGACTAGTAAATCGCATTTCTTATTTCCTTCAAGGTATTGCACAGCGATGCACAGCCATCAAGTACCACTTTTCTCAGCCAATCCGCTTACGAAACATTCCTTTCAATTTAACCAAGACAATTCAGCAAGATGAATGGCACCTGCTTCGTGAGTATTTCGGGGAACGGGTCAGAGAGGAAATGGTGTCTTGCCGCACAAAAAGTATTCCCACCAGCCCTCTCAGGTTTGGACGGAAGGACGTTGTGCTGATTCTATGTGGGCCCAATCCGACTTGGTCAGCGACTCAGGGAGTCATTTCGACTCAGGGAGTCATTTCGCTAGGCTGCAGTCACAACTTGTTTACAGGTGGAACGTGTGAAAATCAAGCCTGAGGCTTTTTGAGACAGGGCAGTGTGTGTGTGTGTGTGTGTGTGTGTGTGTGTGTGTGTGTGTGTTTCTGCCCTGGGGGCATCTGTACCGAAAAGGCCTCCTGCATCTTTTCTTTACCAAGTCATCGTGCATGAAGATCTGCTCTGCCACTTAGGTTAGTAAACCAAGGAGATTATACCTTAGGTACTCTCGGTTTTGTTTCGTTTGTAGAATATTCATTTTAGCTACCACGTCTATCTCAGACCTTGGTATTTCTGCCAAAATATCTTTATGAGTGCATGTTGTAATTTTCTCACAGGAGGTCTGTTATCAGAGGACATCTCAATGATGGGAACTACTCTTTTTCACTGTCAGGAAAATGTGAAAATCTAGAAAGGACCATGCCATGTGATACTAAAGAGGGCAGATATCTACCTGAAAATTGCTGACTCATGCTGCCTGGTGATAGATGACTCAGGGAAGCAAAAAAAAAAAAAAAAAAAGAGAGAGAAAAAAACTAGACCCTAATCGGAGGCCGACACTGTCATTTGCCAATGACATAAGCAGCGAGGACGTTGGTGATCCAGTTGGGTGGCCAAGGCCACTGCAGAAAACCAAGCAGAACCTCATTTTGTGAGGAAATCTCTGCAGATGAAGGCTCTGTTTTGAACTCCACACCCGACCATGGAAGCTCTTATGACACGGCTCCAGCAGCAATCTCAATGTTACACATACTCTGATTGGCAGATTTAGGACTTGGAAAGTCATTGGCTGAAATGTGGTTTTTTCCTTAGTGCTATGACTCCCTGAGAACTCTCTCTTGTTGGCTGATCTTAACAAGCATTTCTCAGCAGGTCTGAGAGTTTTATCTAAGTGTTCTCACATCTGAATTCTTTATGAGCGTGTTTGGAGTTCTTTGCCTTAATCAACAAGTCTAGAAAGCCACACAGTCACTGATTTTTCTGTCTGGTGAGAAAAGATAGACATAGGAACCTGAGAAAGAGCGTCACCTCTGTACTCAAGGAGTCTGTGCCCTGCTGTTGCCCAGCAAGACGGTATTTGAGTGTTCCCTTCATCCTCTTGGAGGTTCTCCCAGAAAGAGACTTTCGGTATCTGCATGCATAGCCCTTTCTGAGAAAGTTATATTTGGTGATTTGTACTATGTTTATCAGATAAGCTTAACATGTCTGGTACTGATGCAAATCCTATGTGGATTATATCTGAACTTTGTACCTTTTAGTGGTCATAGACAAGAGAATTACTACTGAAACCACAGGGAATTTAGGGAGTTGAGATACTAATGACTGAACTCTTCTGACATTTCCCCTGTTCAGATGTGGATGTCTCCAAATGACTTATACCCTTAACATTAAACTCAGCCCCTTTAAATTATCACTGTCCCTGGCCCTTGGTCTGAGGTGTCTACACTTCCTCATCTAGGCAGAGATGCTCTGCTTTCATTTAATGCTCTGAGCTGAAAATGGGAAATCCCTTTGAAAGTAAATATATGATATCACTCATATGTGGAATTTAAGAAACAGAACAGATGAACATAGGGGAAGGGAAGGAAAAATAAGATGAAAAGAGAGGAGACAAACCATAGGAGACTCTTAAATACAGAGAACAAACTGAGGGTGCTGGGGGGAGGTGTGGGGGGTATGGGATAAATGGGGGATGGACATTAAGGAGGGCACTTGTTGGGATGAGCAATGGGTGTTATATGTAAGGGATGAATCACTAAATTCTCCTCCTGAAATCATTATTAAGCTATATGTTAACTAACTTGTATTTAAATAAAATTAAAAAATAAAAATATATACATATATAAAATTAAATTAAATTAAAATAAATTAAAAAAAAAAAAAAAAGGAATGGTCCAAGGGTGCCCAGAGCTATTGACTGGCCTCAGGGGCACTGGATCTCTGCTCGAGATCTATTGTTTTAAGAAGGGTCACAGGTATTCAGCTAACAATTTTAAAAATGTACATTTGTTCAAACAAAAGGTAAGGAGATAGAAGAAGTGAAATAGCAAAGGGTGGGCAATCAGAGCACTGCTTGAGGGTAGCAATCAGAGTGACAATACGTCAGGTGCCTGCAGTCCGTCCATCTCTTGGTTTTGCCTAGGAGGTGGTGGAGGGGCTGGGTTTTTGGCTCCGGGATCCCGATTGCGTCTTTGTGACAGACCATACCTGCCGGTTGTGTCTACGGCAGACCCTTGGCCATGAGAAAGGTCTCTCCTCAGCCTGTGGAAATGGGTACTTGGGCTGTGGGGCCTGTGTTTAAGGGGAGAGGGAGTTTACGAGCAGATATCCCATATGTGCACTTTGGGCCCCATTTCAGTCACCACGATTGCCTCCACTTTCTCAAATCCTTTTTGAAAATAGGCGGGAGTAGATGTAAACGAGAAATAAAACAATCGGCCATCAAGGTGCTCAGGTAAAACCATATTTCACTGTAACACACTTTGTGGGCTCTTTCTCCAAAGCCGGATTAAGTAGAGCCACTACAGTGGTGGTAAGCTACATTTCCATCACTCTGTTAAGGGAAGTAAAGATATTTCTCTTACCTACCTCACTCTCAGTACATTAAGGAACTTGCTATCTATTACCCAGGTTTACCCTGGCATTGTCCTCTGGCCTACTCTCCGTGGGGTACAGACTTCTCCGTGGACTCAGAGAAGGTAGACTCTGCCCCCTGGATTTGCTGGACCCTGTCTGTCCTCTTCTGGAATACCTGGGGAGAGACTTCCCTAAACCACCTCAGCCCCACAGACCCTAAGACTGCCTGTGTCACTTACTAGTTTTGACAGTGTATATTCAAAGCTCTTCGTTCTCTGGTTTTCAATGACTTTGCTGCTTCTGCTTTTCATTTGGAATGTTTGTGTTTCGAGAGTAGACTTGAGAAGAATCACTGCCGGCTTCCTGGGCATGGCTGTAGCCGTCCTGCTCTGTGGCTGCATCGTGGCCACGGTCAGTTTCTTCTGGGAGGAAAGCTTGACCCAACACGTGGCCGGACTCCTTTTCCTCATGACAGGTACGCCCAACACCTCAGCAAAAGTGGAGGCTGCCTGCCTGTGGCCAGCCTCGCTCTGTTAATTTTGCTTTCACTTGTGCAAAGAGCAACCAGAGGTCGTTTGGCTTTTGTGGGTAATACACAATTTAAAGAAAACAGCAGTGTTAATAGTACAGGCCTGGTTTCTCCACTGTGGGCCCCGAGAAGGTTGGACAGAAATGTCTTGGGCTTGATCTCCGTATGAGCCAGCCCTGTATTTTCTGTCTCTGCTTCATACCATGTCCCTAGCCCTGGCCTGGACTCCTGGCAAGCCCTGGTCATCATTTATCAGGAGCCCGCAAGGAGAGAAAGAGTGATCAGCACAACCCGCCCCCAAGGCTGAAAGTTAACTCAAAGTACTTCTCTTAGTGATAGTGTCTTTGGTGTCATCTTTCTTTCTTTCTTTCTTTCTTTCTTTCTTTCTTTCTTTCTTTTTTCTTTCTTTCTTTCTTTCTTTCTTTCTTTCTTTCTTTCTTTCTTTCTAGAAAACAAAGACAGCATGAGTGAGGGAGGGGCAGAGAGAGAAAGAGAGAGAGAGAGAGAGAGAATGAGAATCCCAAGCAGGCTCCACACTGTCAGCACAGAGCCGGACACGGGGCTTAAACCCACGAACCGTGAGATCATGACCTGAGCCAAAACCAAGAGTCAGATGTGTAACCAACCGGCTGAGCCGCCCAGACACCGTGGTGTCATTTTTACACACAAATTACTCCACAGATGTTTTTTGAGGACTTACTACTCTAGGTACCAGAGACACCATGAATAAGGCAAACAGAATCCTTCTCCATTTCTGTCGCAGGGAGACAGAGACCATAACTTGTGATAATGATAAATACTGTGAGGAAAACAAAGAAGGTGGAATAGGGGTCTCAGGGAACACCTGGCTGAGGTGATTTCCCAGCTAAATCATGGAAAGCAGCCGGCAGAGGGTGGGCATGTGCTGCAGGGCGAGCCGCGTCCTGAGGCAGGGGTGGCTTGGTGTATCTTGAGCCATGGAAAGAAGACCAGTGTGGTTGGAGGGCAGGGAGAAAAAGGATAGTGTCTCTTGAGGTGGGAGATGCAGGCAGTGGCTGGATTTCAATCCAAGGGTAATGGAAGCCACCAGGTTTTAAGCAGAAGAGGGATCTTCAAGCAGGGTATTGGAAAGGGGGTAGTGTGTGGAGACAGGCCTGTGGTCTCTTTGATTAGCAGGTGAAGGGTGCTTTTGTCTAAAAAGGAGTCAGGAGCTGAGTTGACAGCTAAGGCGGCTACAGGGAAGAAACCTTTTTTTTCCCTTCTCCTCTTTCACAAGGTAATTAATGTATTAGTGATTAGTAAATGCCAAATTAACAGTTTCACAAGTATACTCAGTATCGGAGCCAATATGACTCTGCATATGTCGCCATTTTGAACAAGCCTATTGCCTATTTCTCTGGAGTTCAGTTTTTCAAACAACCACACCTGGGTTTGCTAGCGCTTCTTCCTTAATAGCCGCTCCCCCACCGGTTAACTGGAGGCAGTGATGCCTGACACCATTGGCTGGCACCATTTCCTGTCTGTCCTTCTTTCAGGGTTGACACGTAGGTGGCGCTTTGCTTTCTGGTGTGGTCGGACAATCGGCAGCCTAAGTAACCCAAGTCACAGGCAGGGGCCCTTCCTTCAGCCCCTTTCTCTCTCTGTGAGCAAGATGGGTCATCGTCGTCGTCGTAAGCACCCTGACAGAACCGTCTGAGGTCACACGGCCCCTGAGTAGTCAGAGCAGAAAACCAAGTTGAGCTTTCCATATTTTGGTGAATGCTCTTAGATTGTAGCACAGGGAGACTAAAATTCTAGGTCCTGAGGTTTTGGAGGAAGATTTGAACCCTCCAGACTAGCCATTGGGTACCTCATTTAAAATCCAAATTGCAGAATGGATGAGTCAGGGTAGCAAAAAGCAGAGAGGCCTGTCTGCCCAGAGGATCCCTTTAAGCCTCTGCTGGGGCATAATGGTCGTTAAAAATCTCATCCATGTTCTTCCCTCCCATTATTGGTTGAGCCCCCATTTTCCTGACTCTCGTCCGTGTATACATCAAACAACTGCAGATTCGCCTCCCCTCCCAACCCTGGAAAGACTCACCTTATATCCCCTTGTCAGGAAAATGAGAGAAGCTATAGACAAGAAAACCTTAGTGGTGGTTTTAAAGCACACTTTAATATGGGTAATGCATAAATAATTTAGGATGCTCTTAGATATAAAACAATCGTTAGCAGTAAAATAAATCACTGGGCCATAAAAGCCAGGGCTAGTGAGAGTTCCTAGGAAGGTCGCAGGCCGGACTGGTTTTAAATAAAGGGGGGGTGGTTGTTGAGCACTGGGTAGGCAGGGAGAAAGGCTAGCAGCCAAGCGTCCTGCCCCCGCTCCACATTTCCATGCTCAGCCCTTATTTCTGATCCTCATGTGGACTAGAACTCCGAGCCAGATTGACTCAGGCATCCTCAGGATTTATCATCAAAAGCCCATGTGCAATTGTTAAACAAAAACGAAACAAACAAAACAATAGCCACAATCACAAAAACCCCACAACAGCCAAAAAAAAAACATACCCCAGGCTTAGAAACTTGAAGTCTGATGACCAGTCCTGAAGGACTAACAGACACAACATAACATCGTCCAGTTTTCTTGGCTTTTGGTTGGCCAAACAAATGTTTGGTTGGCCCAACATTTGGGAATAAGGAGAAAATCCTCTTGTAGATCCCACCACCTGAAAAAGGAGGTTGTTGAAATATTTTTCTTATTCTGGACCAAATCTTGCCCATGAGTTTGCCTCATTTAACAAAAAAAAAAAAGATGTTCATAACCATGATCACAGTAAAGTATTTAGTCTTCTGGGCTTCCATTTAACATCCTCCATTTGGGTTCTGTGTCTCCCTGTCTCTCTCTGCCCCTTCCCCACTTGCACTCTGTCTCTCTCAAAATAAATGAACGTTAAAAAAAATTTAAAAAAGAAAGGGGAGATCCTGGGTGGCTCAGTTGGTTAAGAGTCTGACTTCGGCTTGGGACATGATCTCAAGGCTCGTGAGTTCGAGCCCCGTGTCGGGCTCTCTACTGACAGCTCAGAGCCTGGAGCCTGCTTCCCCTTCCCTGCTTGTGCTCTGGCTCTCTGTCTCTGTCTGTCTCTCTCTCTCTCAAAATAAATAAACATTATAAAAAATTAGGAAAAAAAAATAACATCCTGCCATAAGCTTTCCCCACATTGTTCTGCTGTTTTTTTGCTCTGTTGTTTTCAATGGTATTCCATAGTTACATGCTCGTCCGAGGGGTGGATATGCTGTGTTGTGTTCATCTGTTCCCTTCCTTGTAGGGTTTAGAGAGGTTTGTTTGATTTTTGCTATTTCAAATCGTGCCTTTATATTCCCTTTGTAAATGCCGGGGTAGCGACATTAATCCACTGCACGAGATAAATTAGCTGGAGGATGTTCATATGTAGTAGCAGTGGAAGAGAGCAACTAAGGGTTAAAAGAATTGATTTTAATTAAGCAGAAGTGTCTTCAGCAGCGCTTGTCAGCATCTCTCCCACAGATTTCTGATGCTAAACTTAGCCCCTTCTAATGCGCTGGCATCTTCGTTCTCCGCCTGAACTTATTAGCCAAACCTTCAATGGAGAGCATCAGGGATGTGACAGTTTGAGATGTTAAAATGGAAACTTTGAAACAGTCTTCCTCCTTCTGCCTTATTGCATACAGACAGCTCTTGATTACCCACATGTGGACCAGCAGTGCTGCTGACTGTTCACAATGGGAGCCGCGTTCTGGGCCCCTTCCCCCCTTTGGGGCCTCTCCAGGGGCCTTCCAGCAGGACCCGGGGAAGGCCTCACATCCCCCAGAGCCCCCCAGATACAGCCTTTCGACTTCATGGTGTCTGAGCTCTCCCTCCCTCTCTCTCTCTCTCTCTCTCTCTCTCACACACACACACACACACACACACACACACACACACGATCGAAGAGGCCCGAGCAGAGGACTGAGGGATTAAGACGTCCTCAGGTTTATCTTCTGCTCTCGGGGTGCTGTGAAAGCCTATTTCCATCAACATTCAATGATGCATCGCCGTGGTGATATAATCATGATACTTATAATTTCAGTTATTTATACACAAATCTTTAAAAGGGTTAACTTATTCAAAGCAAACATTTTAAAATGTAACGTTTATGTTGCTGTTGCTTTTGTTTTATTATCTTTTAAAATCTTGGGAATCTCAAAAATTGGGTAAAGCTTAGGCCTTTCTCGATGGGGGCCTCACTGCCCACTGGGTCATTCCCCGTCACAGGCAGCGCTGTCCAGTGAGTGTTGTGACAGCCGACAAAAAGTGACAGAGCCCAGGCTGCCCAGCAAAGCTCAGGGACAGTCAACACCCATGTTGGGTTATCCCTTCCTTTGCTTTGATACATTAAAGGGGGAAAAAAAAAGACTTCGCTGTAGTAGATAAATGAAATTATCTAGGTTATCCATTGATTATGACCTAAAACCACAGGTCCTTAGGACCTCAGTTGAAACATTTGGGGCCAGATGTGTTTTGGAATTCAGGATTTTTAAGTTTCATTTTAGAAAAGTAAATATGGTGAATATACCTTATATTATCTAACACCCTCAGCAGGGTCTGAAATCAAACACATTAACATTTCTGCAGCAAAACATATGAATATTCACATGAAGCAGGATCAATAAGGACTATAAATAGACTCATGTCACATCAGGTCAGGGTTTGCATTAAACAAGATTGCTGCAAACTTTCAGGAAAAGAGTGGATGTTTTGGATTTAATAATTGCAGATTGTGGACCTTCTATTTTATTTTATTTTTTTTAAGTTTTGTCTGTTTCTGTTAGTCTTGCCTATTCATTTAGGAAAGACAATTGAGGAATGGCTTTTTGGGCAATCTGCGTGAAAAATCGCAGGAGGCATTTTTGCGGGAAGAGCAAAGAGACCAGAATGATGGGCAGGCTGTCTTTTGAAGGAGTGAAAAAAA